TTATTTCCTAAATGTGAGTCTCTGAACTGGCTTTAATTACATTTTTTCATTGTGTGTATATAGATACCAATATAACTATATATATTATATATAGGCTATTTTTCAACAAAAGCAACAAATAAATTGAAATTTATAAAATTAGTAAATGAATTAACCTAAAGATACATTATGCTTATTTTTTAAAAAGCCTTATTAACTGAAAAGTGAAATAATTAAATAGGGACAACTTTCTATAGTTCTTAATTAATGTTCACTAATTAAGTTACTAGTTAATATTTTGACTCATGATATCAAATCTAAACATCTAACACACATGCCTCTTAAAATGTGCTTACATTTTTTTCTGAAAAAAATGAGATTCCTTATATTTCCAGTCATCCCTTTTTACCCTCAGACACATTTTGGGCCACCGGTACAATGGATTCTTTTTACACGTGCCTCCTGTCTTCTCCTCTCATATACTTTGGTCACTATAATGCCCAAAATCATGAATTCCAAAGTTAGCTTTGCTTTGTTTTCCATCTATAAATGACCTCCGTCATCTTGGTTAGCCAGTATTGAAAATATGTATCATTTTCAAAAGAGGAACTATTTAAAAGAATGTGAGAGTATCAGCACAAATCTACCATCGCTACAAGAAAAACAACTCAACCCACGTACCCTGCTGATGGGTCAGCAGAATGAGTTTCAACTATGAAGGGCAGCATTATGTAGCTGGGAATATAATTAGATTCTACGGAATAAAGATAAACACTTCTACCTTGCAGTTGAAAGCTTAAAACTAAATAGGCCTTTGAAATCATGAGGTTGGCTGCTCACCAAGGTGACACCAAGGTAACTCTATGACAGAATCATGGTATTCAGTGAAAGGGAACAGAAGACACATTGAAAGTAATTTCCCTGTGGGCAAGGAGTTAGCAGACTTTATGGACTACGGATATTGTGTTAAAGAAGTAAGTTTAAATCACAGGTGGCTTGATAAAGACTTAATGGTTACCAGGCATTTAAAGCTATAATGAATCTTGCTTTAGACAAATCTTATGTCTCAAGTCTTATGTACTCAAGACAAGTGAAGTCATGTGATTTATAGACTTCAACTTCTGTGCAGTCTTAACAGCAAATTTCAAAGCTGTGGTCTCAAACTACCACAGTTTGATAGTAAACAGGCAAAATAGGTTAATAAAATCAAGGAAAAGCCAGACAATTCCTCAAAACTGAAGGTATTTTTTTAAATTTAGTGTTGTTTTGCTTTGTGATAACATCGAATATAGATAATTATAAAATAGTTTAAGATAAAAATCACTATTAGGTATTTGGAAGCCTATCATTGCAAAATATTTATAATATGTATTTGGATGAACCATGATAATAAGGCACATAATAAACAGGTGACATGTGAATAACTTTTTTTGGTTAGTGTAAGCTTACAACTCACCCTAGGTTAAGATTGCATTTGCTGGTAGGGCACCGTGGCTCACACCTGTGACCTCAGCACTTTTGCAGGCCGAAGCAGAATGATGGCTTGAGGCCAGGAGTTTGGGACCAGCCTAGACAACATAGTGAGACCCTGTCTTTATAAAAAATGTAAATGAATTAGCCGGGCAGGTGCGGTAGTACGCGCAGGATTGCTTGACCCTGGGAGTTCCAGGTTGCAGTGAGCTATGATTGACTATGCCACAGCACTCCGGCCTGGGTGATAAAGATGCTTTCTCTCAAAAAATGAAAAGAAAAAATAAAAGAAACAAAGAAAAGAAAAAAAAAAGATTGCATCTGCTAATTTCATTTTGCCTGCTTGCCCTAGGTCTCCCCAGTTCGAGCAAGACGGACTTCCATATGAAGACTATACTAATTGGCTAGCCAAGAAAGGCAAGCTAAACAGTGGGTTAATGACGAAATACAAAGCCTGGAACTAAGGCATGGACTAAGACCATATGGTGGGCGAGAGGGGCAGAAACAGGCAGGAGCTGAGGCTGGAGAGTCAGAAAAGGTAGATGACACAGCAACTGTGTTCAGGGTGGTAAACCTTTCAGTGAATTAGGGTTCTTGGTAGTAGTGAAGCTTTTCTGCTCTAGTCTATGAGAGAGAAGTTGTGTCTCTGTAACAGTCAGTCCTATGGTCTTAGGATCAATGGGACAATATCTATGGCCCTGTATTAAAGTTTAATTTCTAGAATCCCAAAGGATCCACCCCCTTCCCATCTGGACCTAACATGAAGATTCCTTGGGTCTACATATGCATCAGGTTATTTTAGCCACAGTAGCTACTTTCATTAGTTATTTTTGAGAAATGGAAGCTGGTAATACATGCTCTCTCTCTCTCTTTCTCTCTCCATATATATATATATGGAGAGAGACTATATATATATTTGTTTATTTATTTTTTACCCTGGGCAGGAGAAAAGGCAAATGATAGATTATAAACTTGGGATTTTATAATCTTTTAAACCTAAGGCTTATTGGTTTATTCCTATAAAATATAAGGAGATAAAAGGATATCGTACTATATTTTCAAGCAATATTGCTCTCAAAAAGATACCCACCTTTCCTCCATCAGCATTGTACTCTTTTTCGTCTCCTTCCAAGAGTCTAGCTAGTCCAAAATCTGTGATTTTCACATGGTTTGGAGATTTCACTAGGACATTACGGGCTGCCAAATCCCGATGAACAAGCCGTCTTTCTTCTAGGTACATCATTCCCTGAAAAACATCAAGTTCCTCAATGATAGTCAGTTAATGCCTAGGTTTTTCCTTTTTCTAAAAAGGAGTCTTTTAGAGCTCGGTTGAAAGTGCTTCATTTTTTTAAGTGAAGCCAGAATCCTTGAATATTTTCAAAATCAGAGAAAACCTGGAGGAGAGGGGGGAAGCAAACCACAAATAGTTTTGGTCTTTTTCCCGTGAAGTCCTATAAAGAAAAAAGGAATTACCTGCACATGAGCTAAATGTTAGATCATTTTTTCCCAGAGACTCAATATCCTATTGCAAACACTTTCATTAGAGAGGTGTGTAGGTGTCTTAGTAGATAAGCTAATATATACTTGGATTGATCTACATATTCCTAGTCATTTTCTTCTCAATAACTTCTGCTTCATGTCATCTTGCCCCTACACATACACTCCAAACAAATACGTCTATCCATAATTTTTTAGAAATATTTCATTTGAGGTTTAATGGTGCCAGCATCACCATCATAGAGTCTATTGAGGCTGAAGAATTATACCATTCTTATTATGTACACAATGAAGTATGCCCTCAAGGCCTTAAAAACCTATAATTTTTAAAAAGGCTTCTATGACATCAGTAGTCATTATAAGAACCCAAAAGTGATACCACATAGTTTATAATGACCCTGAAATTAGCCTTTAATATTTTGTCTTTAAAAAAACATAGAGAAATTAAAAATAAAATCTATTGCTGATTGCTAATAAGAGATAAATCTGGCTCTCCCCTGCAGTACCTACATATATAAAATAATACATAACGTATGTTATATATTCATATCTACACAATTTCAGAAAAGACAATAAACTATAGAAATAATAGTTTATCAATTGTACTTCAGCAGAATGGAAGCTAAGAGTTGTTAAACATTATCTTTAACAAAACAGCTTATGTAAAACTCAGAGGCCTAGATTAGATTAGAGTGAGCATATTTTTATTGAAGAGATAGGGGAAATTCTGTTTGACCGTTTCAGTGGTAAAAAAGTCATCATTCAAAAACAGATCAGAATTATTATAAAATGTTTGAAGCATACTCTCATGCCAATTGAAAATCAATGCTGTTGGCAGTTAACATTACAACTGCAGGATTTTGAAGGATTAATGGTTTCTGATATCAAAACAAAAGCTGTGGAAAACAGACATATAAATCAAACAGGTCAAAAAATTATGAACCATACACTTGGCATAGCGTAAAGAGAAGATTGCTTCAAACAGCGTCATGAGCCAAACTCCATATAAATGCCCATTAAACACAACCAGTGGAGATACTGCCTGATGTGGTCCAATCAGTCAGCAGTTGGGTGACACCTCATGGATTAGTATTTTCTGAAATCAACCCACACCTGGGATTTACAGGATTTTTGTCCTCTTTCCTCAACAGTGCTTTCTGTTTGAGTACATTAAATTAGAGTTCCTATAATAAGGTGAAGCTAAGAACATATAGTCCTTATGTTACTTAAAGGATCAAAAAATAAACAAATGTATTTCCTGGGAGATAAAGTATATTCATGTCTCCCCAAATAATTTTGTCCCTTTAAGAAATGCCCACAAAAACATTTATCATTCTTTCTTACTACCTTCATATCAGAATATATATGGAAAGTGTGTTGGCAGCAGGTTAATATTCAGATTCACACATAATCATAGAATACATAGTATGTACTGGACACGGTGCTAGATGCTGAGAAGACAAAAGAGTCAGATAAAGTCCGTGCATTAAAAAAGAACAGAAGCTAATTAATAAAGTGGGCAGATTTGGAATAAAACTCGAATGGATCGATGTGATACATGTAAGGCATTTCAGGGGAGCTGTATTGTGAGGCCCTTTTGTGGTATAGCCCAGCAAGTATGCACGGGAGGAGAGACTTCAGAGAGGTACCAAGGCCTAAGTAAGGGTTGAATGATGTTCACCAGTTGGACAGGGTGAGGGCAAAATTGAAGGCAGCGAGAAAAAGCACAGGGGCATCAGTAACGTGGTATAGTTGGAAAAAGGTTTGTAGTTCTGTATTTCTGAAGCATAACGTATGAGGGAGGGGCAGTGGTGAGTAGTGAGACTGAAAAAGTAAGAAGCAGAATCCAAGAGGGGCCCCTCACATGTCATGGTAGAGAACTTGGACTTCTGTATTTTATGCAGTAAACAATGTGATGATGTAGAAGTTGTTTTAAAAAGGGGAGTGGCACAATTATTGTTGGACTCTTGGAAACACCACTATGTTGCCAGTACAGAGAATGGATTGGACATAAATGTAGCTGAAGGCAGGAGCCACTGCCACAATACAGAAGAAAGGTGATGAGAATATAAAATAAAGGTTGCAAATTGGCAGTCCATGGGCTATATCCATTTTTTTCAGATTTTTTTCTTTAGTCCACACACTGGGCACAATTCAATCAGTCTCTTGAACTGAGTACAAACTGTGCCCCATGGAAGGCATCTGATCTCCAGCTTTCCAGGATCCCACCACTCACTACTACTTCCCAGGAATTTTGCTTTTATCATTTATGGTACTCGTATGGCTCCTTCATGCATGAATGTGTGACTCTTCAACTAAACTAGGCCAGAAGGAATACTACAAAGAGGATAATTTCAA